TACTACTCTACTCTCTCTCTCTCTCTCTCTCTCTCTCTCTCTCTCTCTCTCTCTCTCTCTCTCTCTCTCTCTCTCTCTCGTAATCTTTATCGCCTCGCCTTTTCACGACGTTCCTCCACTTCGCAGTCGAGCTACGATGACGTTCGTAAACTTTGCTGTAAAACGTCCCTCGTACCGAGCGATTTGCAGTGAAGTCGTAAAAAAGAAAAATGCGCTTCGTTCAAAGTTTGAACTTGAATGACTAGCATAAATGGATCCGCCTTTCCGGTTTCGGGAGAGAAAGCTTAAACTTTGTCGAATTCCTCATAAAATATGGAATAGGGCTTGATTCTAGTATAAGCCATCCGAGCTTCACAAGAAATTTTTTCCTATCTTTCAGTGAAAGTTTTTGACGAAGAACGTACGTTTCGAAGTTTAAACGTTTGTGTAACAAATTGTGTAACAAGTTTAAATTTTGTATAACAAAACATATGTGACGTTAAAATGTTGCATTCCAAATCCGAATCGAATTTAAAACATCTTTATCATCAAAGTGGCATTATTTTTCACTTTAAGAGTTTTAACAAAATAAAAAGTTTAATTTAAAGTTTAATTTAAAGAAGTTTTTGAAAGGAAGACTTTGGCGGATTCATTTTATGTGTATTTAATTATTTTCGAAAAAAATACGCTGTAATTGAAAGTATACTCGTTACCAAACTTGATTATTTAATAATCGAATTTTGCTATCTCGATGTTTGCGGTTACGAGATTATACGTTCTGTGTATAATATCGCAAATTATAAATTCTCTAAAAAAATGAAGAACTTCAGCACTTCATTACTTTGTAATTTCATTAAAATAATCGTTGTGCGGAAACTGCGATGCAACAAAATGCAAACTGTAACAGAATGAAAGCTTTTCTCGAGTGCGCGAAAAGTGGGGAAAATTAAGATGCTCCGACAAAAATGCACTAGATAGAATTTTATTTTTATATTTATTTCTGGAAATAATAATGGAAATAAATAATAAATAATGAACATACACGAAATATCGACGCTATTACTGAAAACATATTAATTAAGAGAGAAATTTGTTAATTAACAAAAATATACTTCTCATATAGATCGCAGAATGTAAAATAAGTAACGATGAAATTGGCGTTGCCATAATGACGTCTTCGCCAGTAAAGTTTTTTTTTCTCAAAAAGCTTGAGGACACAACGACCGTTCTGACGATGGCAGATATTAAAATTCTCATTAAAGTTCGCCGCACTCGTGCGCAGAGGTCGAGGTTCATCCGAAGAAATTTCACTTTAATCCACTTTTTAAATGTCGCACAGCTCTCTTCATCTTTCGGCCTGAAATTTCTCATCTTTTATCATTCTATTTCCATAGTTCTTCATCGGACCTGGAATCGAGGTTATCCAGGGTATTCAATTATTCGGGTCATTTGAATCCGTTGT